CTGCGCGCACAGATATCATCCCTCTCGATTTTGGGTTTACTAAATGTATAAGAAGGTGTAACAGTTTATTTGCTTATACGCGTTATGGTTATGGTGTTGCGGTCACTGTTAATTGTTTGAGCTTCTCTGGCATACCGAACCATATCTTTTTCGGCAAGACAAAATTAATTCTAATTAGGAATTACAATTATTCATTATACAGAGTGGCGGGAAAGTATGGAATCAGCGAGCTACAGCCTTAATAATAATAATAATTTATTGTGCTCATGTGATGCTTCACTTACACTTGTCATGCACTAAATAATAAAAAATAGCAGAAAATAAAAAAATACAAAAAATATATAAATACAAAAATATCACAGATTACTTTTACAATAAATAACATAATTTTCAAATGTATAAAAAGCGTTCATGACTAGCAGGTTTTTTACATAAGGCTTAAAAGCACAGAATGGTAGTTGTTGGATGTTTGATGGCAAACAGTTGAATAAGAAATTCGATTGGTACTGGACACCGTCATGGCATTTGCATAATCTGTAAAATTCGATATTTTAGTTTTAATGTAATTAAATCAAAACGTTGAGAAATGCGTATCTTCATTTGTTGCACTCTTGGGACCACCGATTATTGCAACTTCCCTAACATGGCCAGTTTGTGTAAACCGCTTCAAAGTTTTACTCGCGACCGACTGGGAAATCGGCTCTGTATCTGGATGCGTTGCGTTAATAAGCGCACAAACTTCACGTTGGGATCTCATTCGATCTCCGTACCCAACCATCATTAAAATTGTTATTCGCTCTTTCTCGGATAAATGAACCATTTTACTAAAACTAACACACTGACAACTGACACTTTAGAAGTTGATGAGTAATTTTTGATTAGTCAATTATTGATATAAAATCTCAAATATCCTGAAATCTGAGAACTTCAGAGTTTTGAAGCACCTCGTCTAGAGGATCATAAAAAACTAAAAAAATACAGGGTGTTCAGTTTAAAAAATATGCTCAACATGACATAACTTGAAATTAATAATATAATATCAATCAACTTCCATCTCACACTTTTTTCAATATAACGAATGATTAAGGCTGTAGCTCGCTGATTCCATACTTTTTCGCCACTCTGTATGTTGCATTGTGACATTAAAATAAAATTTAAAATAAATAAATTAAACAAATATAGCAAACGAGCTCCTGGGTATGCCTATAGCATGTGCAAAACCAAATTTTAAACCTGATGTTAGTTTTGATTTTATTTAAAGTGTATATGTATGAAATTTCATTTAACTGCTTCCATAAATAAGAAAGTTGACACTGCACATCCTACACAAAACCAAAGTTGGAAAATGGCGCTACATATTTGCTTTTCTTCCAAGTGGCTATGTATCAAATTTCATTTGAATGCCTCCATAAATAAGAAAGTAGGCACTGCGCATGCGCAAAACCAAATTTTGAAGCTGGTTTTAAATTTTTTTATTCCCAGTGGCTATGTATCAAATTTCATATAAATACTTTTATAAATAAAAAAGTTGGCACTGCACATGCGCAAAACCAAATTTTGAAACTGGCGTTAAATTTGCTAGGTATCAAATTTCATCTCAACTTTTGGAATTGGTTTTATATGGGAAAAGCTATGCGCATATTAAATTTCATGCAATTCGGTTTATAACTCATTTGTTTTTTCGATTTTATTAGCCCATATGGACATGCCTTAACGATACAAACATGAAATAATTTTTAATTTCTGGTCGAATGACACCAATACCAAGTCTGTAAGTGGTTCCAGAGCTTTTGTGACTCAAGACAGACATCAAGAGCGCAGAGGCACCTCTAAATAGCATTATGCGGGTCACTTTGTAATTGGGCGCATGCCTGTTGAGGGCCCAAAACAAGAGAGGGATAAAAAATATGTAAAAAAAGTGCACTTTTTATTTTTTAAAGTGAAAGTGCACTAAAAATGATACAACGCGGCACGCGGCAAGCATCCGAGTACTAACCGCTCCCGATGTTGCTTAACTTTGGTGATCGGACGAACCAGTGTTTTCAACGTGTGTAACTTTCCGTTGAATGTACTCTTGCTTTGTGTAACTGATTAAAATCGCTCTTAGTATGATCTGCATAGTTGGTACCATCCAGAGTCAACACTCTACCATTGTTTAAATTAATTATCTAAGCGTCGTAACGCGAATGGAGATTTGCTAGCCTTAATCTAGGTAAGGATATTGTCATACTGCCATTGTTTACAATATGTTCCATTATTTATAGGTTAGTTTATATCATGTTCCTGGCAAATTCAAAGTTGATTATTATATCATCTAGTCCCTATTGTATTTATATGGGAATGCAGTTATTGGGGTAAGCAACTATTGGTTTTGTGTAGGAATATTGGTCCTATGAATGATGCCCCCGGGACTTAGGGAAAATCTGACGAGCAATTGTTGCATGATGGCAGAAAACTGTTCGTAGTTGAATGGTCTTAGATGATTGTTGATGAATTATCGGTATTTATTAAGATATCCTTTGGAATTCGAGGATGGGGAATGGTTGGATGGTTGTCTTAAGACACAAAAGAAAATAGTACAAAACAACACAACAGTAAATATTAAAAAATACAATTACTTAACTACTTACATTATTATTCCTGGCATTGAAATCCAATTAAAAAGGTATCCTTAACATAGTCCACTAACTTAAATTTCGCAATTCTTACAAAAGACACAGCACACAGGCGGAATCGGTCAAATCTTCTCTCTTGGGGTACTCAACGAGGTTCATAAATAAATCCAAATACTTTTTATTTTTTGTTTCCGGCTTCCCAAAATGAAAATTTCAAAACATCGGCACTTCCGCGTTGACAGGAAGGCAATCTAACTTCTTAACATGTTGAACAAAACACTCGATGCTCGCTGTGGCTTCAAAACAAATAATAAACGGGCTGCGAACTTCAACGATGAACTGGCTCAAAAAGTGAATAATCAAACTGGCCGTAACTCAACGGTGAACTGGCTTGACAGCTGATTTAAGTCTTCAACGAAAAGTTCCGCACTGAACGTGCCAAAAAGCGACGCTTTTCTTGTTAACATCTTATTTAAGGCGAATCCCTTCTTCCGATTATAAAAATTACAACAACCAATTATACACAGTTGTCAACAAAGGGAGAAACAAAACTATCCTAGCAACGCACGTTCTTAGGATAACAAAAATAGAGGTAGATTATTTTTCTAGATCAATTTGCTATCAGACATTAAAAGATAAATCCAAACTCAAATTCCCGGAACTTTTCTACGTTTAAATAAAGTGTAAAAAACAACTTTGACCGCTTTCTCGTATAACACAATAATCTCCATTCCGTTACATGGATCAACGACAATTAATAAAATTAAATTAAGTACGAATGTTAATTACACAAAAAGGAGACCGCCCTTGTCCATCTTAATTAGGATTTTCGAAAATTTCATCCTGCCGGACAAAAAAACACATCAATATTTATATAATAGCTACTTATATATCAAGTACATAAACTGGGTCTATATGGACGAGCCGTTTATTTAGCCGAGCGAGCTTGCGAGCGAGGCACAAATAAACAAGGCGAGTCCCCATAAAGCCTATTTATGGACGCGATATATACAAAGCTTTATACACGACTGCAACAACCCTTAAAAATGAAAATTTCATGGAATTCAATAAACGATAAAATCTATATATCATTGACAACAGATGTCAAGCATTTGTCAAGTATTTCTAAAATACTTGAAGTTACCTTGGATTGACACCTAAGTACGACTGTCACATTGACAGGCGGCCGTTTTACTTTATCATTATGGACTAGGCCATAAAAAATTTATATCACTATATGTATTCGCTTGTCCATAGACCCTTTCTCTACACGGTTTCAGATGCCGATATCCATTGATTCGTCCCATGGTCTTCATGCGCAAGGCTCAAAAGTAAGTAGACAAATAAACCTTAAAAGTCAAAGTCCGCAATAAAAGTCCTAATTGAGGTAAAGTCTTGATCGGTGAGAAATTTCCTTCTCGTCCCTGCGTCCTTCTCGAACAACCTATCCTTCGTATAGCTACGATTATGGTACTTTCCGTCTTCCGGCAATGGATGACAATGGGGTAAATCGTGAGCAAATATTTTGGGCTTTCATACTTTCCAGGGCGAATTTTCCGAGGGCAAACCTTTCAAGATTGAATCTTCTTTGGGCAAACCTAGCCTTTCGAGGGCCAATCTTCGGGGTGTGCAAATTCCGGTGAAGATTCCGGGGTGAATACTGCCGTAACGAATGTATTGACCCCACTTGTCTGTAAATCAATGGTGCGGTAACAAATTTTATAATGATAGGCATAATTGCGAAACATAGTCACTATAATTACAGCTATCTTCCTCATTTTCGAACAGAATTTTCAATCTTCTGCAGAATTAACTTTGAAATTTTTTGTTTCTCTGACGAAATCATTTCAGTTGGTATCGTTTTCAAAGAATTTCAGCTTTTGTGTGTTGTCTGAAAAATAAATCACCATCGCTAGGCATGCTATGTTGTGTAAATAAAACAAAGTTCACGATTGTCTAACCCTAAATTGACCCACACCACACGAAAGATTCACGCCCGGCGCTTCGGGGCAAGTTGAATTGAATATCTTCCATACCATTTTAGGAATTAGAGCAATTGATTTTAAAACTCGATACATTACTTTACGTCTAGCATTCAGGATCATTAGGAAGAAAGCGATTAATTTACTCGCACCGATAGATGACTAATTTAATTTATTATCTTCTCGTGTAACGTACGGAAATAATTTGCTTCAACATTACTTATATACGTTATCGGCATCCCCGTCAGTTAAATTAACATAAACGTGTTTTCAGTATTAACCTGTAATTATGTCATTAATATTCTGTTAAGTTCTTTAATCTGCGTCCATATTAAAATAAATACCATAAATTTAACAACTTAATTTTCAATTTTGTACATGTGAGGGTTTATTGATTAATTACCTTTAGGGGGTATCCCGTTTTCTGTTTCGATATAACCGTGGGTGGGAATTTTGCAGAGCACATAATGATCAGGATTAAAGCGACTGCAACCCTGCAAAAAAAAGAAAAAAAGTCAAAAATATCGAAAACAAATTAGTCACCCACCTTCTATCATTATTTTATCTTAAATTCGAGGTGTGCCTTGAAAATTTAATAGTAAAGTCAAGACCACCTAATTATCACAATGATTAATGACCACAACCATTATAACGTCTTGTAATAATTAACGGAGACAACTTACATAATAACGTAGATCACGCAAGGGACTAAGCGCCAAGTGATAAAGTTGTTCATTTTGCTTTATTAGCTTCCTTTGGTGGGCCAGCACACATCGCAATGCGTGATTATAGTGCGAGCTATGTCGAACGCGACGAACATTTCGCAAAAAATCCGCACCAAAAGCTCATGTCGGATCGATGGGCGAAGAAAAGGCTATCCGATGCGAGTATGGGGAGATCGACCGCCAGCGTTAAGGGGTACACCGAAAATCCAGACCCCCAAATTTTGGATGATTACGATTTCTTTTACAAAACGACCAAAAGTTTGCTGGTGTTGTTCCAAATTATGGGTGTCATGCCGATCGAGAGGTCGGGAATTGCGAACACTACATTCAGGTATTATATTTAATGTCTTAATAGTGTTAAACAGCCAAAGTAATTCTTTATTTTTATCGTTGGAGGTCCACAATAGAAAAATTCCTCACGGTCCGTTAATATTTCGTTAATTTAAATTTTAAGCCAATAGTAATATTTCACAATCACGGATTTCTTGCAAATTTCTCCTTTTAGCTTCTGTTTACTATTGCCTTTTTATTACTATAAGCTTTTAATTTATTGGCAGTTAACGTAAAAAATAAATCTCAACACTTTAATATGAAAGAATTTATCTGACAACGCCGATTGTAGATTATTGTACTACCGGTACACAGCGGTTGCTTGTGTTAGCACCCTTGGACATCTAACCCTAGCAATATAAAGGGTCGGAAAGTTATAAAATAAAACGCATATATCACAAAGCGTGTGAGTAACTTTTGATTGTTCAAAAATAATTGGGATTTTTATATGCATCTAATCTGTTGACTTGGTATGCCTTGCCTTAAAGCTGTCTTGTGGGTTAAATTTACTTACACAGTCATTATACTAATACATTTTTATGCGTGTGATATTAAAGATGTCTACCATTGTCAATGATTGCTTACGAAGAGAGGTATTATTTTTCATAGCTTTTAGCTAGAAATATTCTCAATGTATGGATATCAGACCGGTAAATTACTAAACAGTGCATATAAATGGCAGTGTGACAGCAACCTGTGCTTATATCAAGAATGGAATCTAATCTAACGCAATAATTATTGGTCGAGGATGAATATAGTGATAGTGATCCGGTGGTTTTGCTTTCTCTACAGCGTAAGCGTAATCAGCCTAGTGCTCATTTACCACGTTTAACCTTCGCAATACCAAAGTATGAAAAAAACGTAGATTCCCAAAACTGGATCACATGTGACCCATCTTATAATCCTATGGTTATTTTTTATAAAGCGATTTATGAGGCGATTTATTATACACAGGGGCGTGCCAATGAAAGAATTGCTAATTGCCCGATACACCTCCAAATAAACCCTTCTAAAGAAGATTAAAAACATTGCTACGCCAACATATACCCAGTATATACCAAGGAATTTTCTGCATATGTAAAAAGTTGACCCTGTTTGCGCATGCCCATATCTGATTTTCACAATATGGGATATGCTTGTCTTAACTAGAAGCATCTGTGGGTAAAATTTCAAAGAAATATCTCAATAAATAGGAGAGTTGACATTGCGCAATCACCGAACGCAGAAAGAACGAACTAAATATCTTGAAAACTGACGGATGGAGGGCCGGAGAAAGTGACCATAATAGCGCCTTCCAACATGAGTTGGAAAATGCGCTAAAAGTGAAACAAGTAATTAATATTGCTGTGTTTATTTCGTCAGGCGGAATAAAATTTTGGAAATCATAATTAAGGTGGACAATGGCTGTCTCCTTATGTAATTAACTTTCATAATTCAATTTTGTTATTTGTCGTTGGTGTATGAAACGACATGGAAATTATTATTGTCATACGAGAAAGTGGTCAAGGTTGTTTTTGTTTACATTTTATTTTTATTTAACGTCTTTGTTTTTATCTGTTATCACTTGTAAATGCTTAATTTAATTGACAGGTGGATGTGACTTATCGCCTTTCATGTGTAGTTAAACGAGGTGAATTTTTATTTTTCCTAGTATTGTAGTTAATTATGTCTGATAAGAAATTGTTTTAGTAAAATTATTCGACCTCTATTATTTTGGTCTTTTAACGTAAGTTGAGGGGAGATTTTCTGTTGTCAATTGTGTATGAATTGTTATAATTTTGATTTTCGGAAGAAGGGTCCTTAAATAAGATTTGGAAGAGGGAGAGCGTCGCTTTTGGCCAAGTTCAGCGCGGAACTCCGTTTCGTTGAGGAATTTATTTCGCTTCTTGCGAGTTCCATCGTGGATTATTTGTGTTGAAACGACGGCCAACTAGTTTGAAGTCAGGGCCAGTTCCTCCAACATGAGTTTGAAGTTTGAAAAAATTTCGTTTGTGAAGCCGGAAGCCGAAGTCGCGGCCAATTATTGTTCGACGTTTTGAAGTTTTGGCCATCTAATAAGGTGCTCCAAGGAGAGGTGTTCGTCGGTACCTCCATAAATGTGTTTTTCAACGTGACTCATTTTGAAGTTGAGTTTTCTTTTGGAACGTCCTTGTCTACACGAAAATGCTGCGATTACCCGGTCGTTATAGTGTAATTGTTTAAATGAAAATTGTTTTTTGTGTTTTGTGTAAGGATACCGTTTATTTGGATTACAATTCCCGAACATGTAATGTAAGTAATTAAGTCTTAATTTTAGTCTTTTTGTAACAAATGTTTGTGTTTTTGTATCATTTTCCTTGTGTGTGTGTTACGATTAAATCGCACTTTTGTAATTTTCACAATTTTTGTTTCATTCTAACGACTTCAGTTCTAATTTACCTGTGTTTGGATTGGATGCTTGCTCAAGTTCCATTTTAATTATTCAAAATTTTGCAGTTCAGTTTGGAGTTTAAGGTATTTGGTCTAACCCACTATCTGTTAGAAGTTAACAGGTTAACTGAGAGTAGAGTCGAATCTCTCCTCTGTATTGGGGAGGAGTTTTGTACTGGGATAATAAGTAAGATAAAGAGCTAACTAGGTTTTGGTGTTTTGTGTACGGTCTTTATGGCCTACGGACCAGTGCACACAGCAATATTTAGAACACCTGTCAGCTCGAAAAGATGCTGCATAAAAAGTATGGGAAGTAACCGAAGGCCGAAAACAATTACTCAGAACTCAACTATCGTAATTGACGAATGGAGGAGGAACCTGGGCAAATATAGAAAAGGAAAAAGTAGATCTATTTCCACAGCACCTCGAAGGGACATTTAAATCAACCCAAGACAAACAGCGGACTACGTATAATCGAACGAGTAATCAAGGAGGATGGCCTGAAAACTCCCAAAGCAACTGTACAACTTAGTAAATAGGTCCAGGAGAATCTAAGCAAGAGATTAAGATGTTAAGGCTTGATAACGGGGGAAGTGCTTCAAGACCTTCTCGCAAAAGTACACTTGCGCAGTACTCAGGATTAAGGTTGTACTCAGTCAATGGAAAACACCTGATATCTCAATGATACCGAAACCAGACGAGGGTACCCATAAAGTAACGCCATTCCGACCGATTTCATTGCTACCGAAAAGTTTATCCTCGAAAGACTGCAAATTAGCTGTTATAGAGGAAAGACAAAGAAACACATTTCCAAGCTGCCAATATGGTTTTGGTGCTGAACATCGGATCACCCACATTATAGAAGATACCCTAGAAAGGAAGAACGTGTATAACCACACGCATTCTGGTTCCTGATGAATAAGGCTCTAACACTGCCGTGGCATAGAGACCGTTATGACCTGCTTTTTGGTATCTGATATTGACGTTGGTAACTAATGGGGCCACTAAAGAAATTGGGTTTTCCGTCCATTACGTTGTAGCCAAAATCGTTACTTATAATATAGGTACCAGAGTGTAACAATTAGTATGCCAATAAAATTAGAACCAAAACCAAAAGATCCGGATGGCTGATATATTACCACGTGGTCCACACCAGTTGCCTATCAAACATCTTCCTCAAGAGTAGATAGAGTCTTATGTAACGGTTTCCATATTATTGCATGTTTCGCCATTGCACGGGTCACAAAATGTGTTAAACTTTTGACCTGGGTGTCTACCCCAGCATCTACCAGCACCATTGGTTTTGCCATGACAGTAAACCCTCCTACGCGAATCAGAACTTCTTCGCCCCACTGTCCGTCCTAGCAAAAAATATATTTTTTTAAAAGTAACCTTTCACTTGATACGCCACTGGTGGGTGCCATCTGCTACCCAATATGGATTGTGATACGTCATCGTAAGGGGAATTTTATCAGCTCCAAAAATGCTCCCTTGACACTTTTTCGTAAAGTTGATAGTTTTCGAGAAAATAACCAGAATATAAAAAGGGGGTTGATGGGGCGAAGATAGCGGGTTGCCGAAGATGGATTCTCCAGGACTTTTAGTATGTTACAGTTTAGTCTTCAGGCATGATTTCTACCAAAACTCCATGATCCATGATCTCCAAAAACCCAGGACGACAATTTTTTGATGACCCCAGTCAAAGCATGGTGCAGCAAATAGAATCTGGGCTACTTTCGAAGGCTGCAAGAAGAGCTGAAGACGCCGTTGAAGTAGAATGGTAGCAATTCAGATGCCACCATGCCATTTTAGACAAAGTCCATGCTGTTCTTCTTCCGCCTCCACCGACGCTATTAGAATCCTTTAGGCAAATAATTTTCATGTACACTAGTTAATTTATTTATTACTCATTACACTAGCCATCCGTATTTTAAGCAATACGTCAAAGGTAGGGCCATATGTTCATATAAAATTTTAGCGTCAGTTTGCGTAAAATTTATACTTTGACATCTTCAGCACACGACCACCCGTAGAAACGATTTCTTGTTGACGAAGAGATCAAAAGATAGATATTAGTACCCGGAAGACCATCGACCAATTGCATGCTCTCGCCATGCCCTAACGTATCACCGAGTATTGTAGTTAATGACAGTTGTATAAACCATAGGTCTTGCAGCATTCAGCAGCTATATCTTCGAGGGACAAATTGCCATCTACGTAGATTGAGCCTGCAGAAAGGAACTTAAGCTACTGTGCACTGTGCAGTTATTCTTCAAGCAGCTGTATTGGTAGGCAAAATAGTATTCGCGTTGAGTGCTTTTAAAAATGTTTGTGAGGACGGAATAATTTTCCTTTTTTTGCATCGTAGTCTGCTTCGTTATGTAGCCCGCCGCGTAGTTAATAAGTTAAGGTGGTAGTTTCTTTACCTCTCATTAAATTAGGTTTGTTTGGAGACCAAGACCAAAGACGGAAGATTAGTGTAACCGAACTTTGTCATATAATACTATTTGTAAATAAGAAAATAAGAACCGTTTGGTTAATAAATAAATGAACATTTTTTTTCGTTATCCTACCCTTTATTTCTTGAGGTGAAGAAATTTAGTCGCGGTGTCCAAACACAAGAAATAAAAAATTTCATTCCCATCGCGGGGGCTCGAATTAACCATACAATTTCAGTTGCATTGTCATTGTACTGAATACACAACTTATAGACACTAAATTTCGCAGAATGGGCAGTATTTCACGTTCAGCATAAAAAGCAACGCTGATAATTATTTTTGCTTCAAAATTTACAATATGCAGCTGTCTTAATTTTGTGACAAAGACTCCCAATCAGCTCAAAACTTATCGTTCAAGAAACTGGCCGGGTTTCGCTTTTGAACCGCCACCTGGTACCCTTGGTTGTGTGTATTTTTAATTGAGAAATTTTTTAATTTTGTGCTCCCTCCCCATTTATTCCCTATACATCCGGTATCATCATCACATGACAACTTGATTCCTAGTTTTGTAAAGACATTACAGTACGAATAATAAATGAGCTTAGGATAAGACAGTTGGTTTCTGAGCGATTGGATTTCTGAATAATAAACCTCTGTTACAGATGGACATCAAAAACCGCCATTTACGCATACTGCATTTACACCGTGGAGACTATCTTCGTACTGCACGTACTCAGAGATAGAATATTCTTACTTCTGGAGGAAGGCAGAAGATTTGATGAATACATCTACGGCATTATCTTCATTAGCATACTAAGTCCTCATTTTCTATTACCAATTTTGGCATGGACAAACGGAAAAGAAGTAGCAAAGTTTAAGAACATGTGGACACGATTTCAGGTCTCCACTTTCTTTAATATAAGTTGAGGGGTGAACATTTTTTTGCAGTATAAATACTACGAAATCACCGGAATACCTCTACTATTTGAAAAGCTCACTTTGATCACTTACGGGCTATGCCTCTTTTCGTGGGCTCTTGGAGTTGGTGTCATGTTGGCACAGTACTATCTGCAGGAAGACATGGAACTTTGGCATACGGGTGCCTATTACCATATACTGGCAATGTTAAATTGTCTCTGCTCGTTGTGGTTTGTTAACTGCACCTGTAAGGGGATCGCCGCCAAAGGTTTGGCCGATAGTCTTCACGATGCCTTGGAATCGCAGAACGCGGCAACACGCCTGGCGGAGTATCGTGATTTATGGGTGGACTTATCGCACCTAATGCAACAATTGGGAAAGGCGTACAGTGGAATGTATGCTCTGTACTGCCTGCTAGTTTTACTAACGACAATAGTTGCCAGTTATGGGTGCTTAACGGAAATATTAGATCGTGGGTTGTCATTCAAAGAGCTGGGTCTATTCGTAATCACCATCTACTGTTTGGGATTGCTCTACATTATCTGCAACGAAGCCTACCATGCGTCCAGAAAGATGGGGCCCGGTTTCAGAGAACGGCTCTTAAATGTGAACCTGAACGCAGTCGATGTCCGAACAAGACAAGAGGTGAACATGTTTCTCACCGCAATTGACAAAAATCCTCCCATAATGAACTTAAATCAATACGCGAATGTAAATCGCCGACTGCTGTCATCGGTATGACCAACTTAGTAAGACGCGTTACTTAAATCTCATTCCAGGTGATCACCTCAGTCTCTACGTACCTCGTCATGCTGATGCAATTCAGATTTACTCTTCTGCGAAACGCGTCTTTGGCGGCGCGTAGAGCAAAATTAAGAGGAAATTTCAACGAAACCGTATTTTAAGCATTTGATTACACAAATACCAGAGAAAGACCTTTAGTGTAACCTTTGGGGGTCGCCGAATATCACCGGATCCTTGCACTTGCACCAATGTCACAAGATCAGGAACGAAGAGTGACGAAATACTAAACAGCAACGCAATAAATACCTTAACTAATACAGGGTGCAAAGCACGTGCCTTTTTAGCAGCTCATAAATATTAATGAGGTCAATATTTGGAAATGGTACACAGACTTATATTAATAAAACTTGCATGAAATTAATTTTGGATGTGTCTCTATAAATAATTTACACGCTTGAACGTGTTGCCACGACGAGGAGCTTTAGAATTTGGTTTGCCCAATCGACTCTATGACGCAAAAGGTTTCATATTAAGTAATCAAACCCGTTATGGACGTACAAAGCCAGAAAATAAAGATAAAGGTGCCGATCTTGATGGCACCTTTGCTGTATTTTAAAAGCGTAAATCGTTTAAGATTCCTTAATAATGTACAAATGCAGTCAGCTGCAGAGCTGCTGTAATAGTTTAGTTTAAAGCATTGTGTACTACTTTCTATAGTAAATAAAACGATTTGTAACTGAGCCGGACCTACCAGTTTAATGAAAATGGTAAGTAGCATATGAATTCAAAGATATACCAAGCGTTCAATCCCACCGTACTGATACCTTAACGCAAACTGACAGCTTAGTCACACGTACGAAGAATTTCTGTAAACACAAAGAACTTTAACGCCATAATGGGGTAATTCCAACGATGTGTAGGAATTTCAGATTTCGGCAGTGGATTTTGAGTTATATTCAATGCAGTGTCAACTGTAGGTTTTGCAATTGCATTGGGTTTCGCCGATATTTTTCTATTTAAAAATTTAATGACTAACTGCACAGTAGAATATTAGATTCATTTTGATGTACTTTGTCAATACGGCACCGAATCTGTTTAATCTTTATTTATAGCTATATTGGATACATTATACAAAACATAAGAGGTAGTAGTATTAGCATAGACTTAATTGATTATCATCAGGTGCACCTATAGGCCAATAAAACGTTTACACCTGACCGATTGAAGTGTTATGATGCCAATTAAAATTACATAGTTTATAGCTTGGAGTAGTCAATAATACTTAGCAAAACCAAACGATCTATAGTATAGTGTGTAACAGTATCTTTTAATTTGCATTTAAATTTTTTTGAAATTTTGGAATTTCTAAGAATAGAACATTTTAGGCATTGAATATCATAGAGAGTAGTATCGAAATTTAGCGGGTTGAATTGGTTTTCCAAATAAATAGTATTCTTGGTGGAAATTCAAAGAATAAAATTTGTCAACCGTGATGGAAATGCTCATCTTGGCTGCGTTGTTTCTTAATAGGTTTCGGAAACGTTTTGGGTCAAGATGTCTGGATCATATGTCGTATTCTTAATTAGTGCTACCGAGTTGCAATTGTTGGATCAGCATTAGGTCTCTCGCTTGCTCACGAGTGACGAGTCATCGGAATTGGTGGCTGCAATTAGGGGGGATTAGTCAGGGAGAAAGAATTATTCGCGTCTTGGACACGAGGGAATTAACCTAACCATACTCCCTCATCATTTAAAAAAATTTCGAAAAATTTGATAGTGTTCCACGGAAGTATCTAACCGTGTCAACCATTTGTGACAATAAATAAACTCTTGATTATTAGTGACCTTCAAACACAGGAACTAACCCAGTCGAGCTAATTAGTCTTGCCGTCGGAAAGTTCTGAAAGTTTCCATATTGTTGTAAATGTAAGGAGGCCGTCCCGAGTTTCATCGGACTCAATATTTTGATCTACAAGAATATACATTTTTATTTATATCAAATTAAATTGAAGCTCTTTACGAACAAGTGTCATAATTAATCATTGATTGTAGCTTTAACAGAAGAAGTAGATAAAGTAAAATTTAATTGGTGCGTACTTAAGGAATGTAACCTAAAAAACAATTTTTATGCCTCTTGAACAACCTTGTGAAAATGGATTGGATATAAAAAGCCAGTTTGTTCAAATTCAGAAAAAATTGTTTCCAAATTCATGGGTTCATTGTGATTATCTTTCAGGTTTTTGAAGCTAATTTCGAAGAATAAGAAAGGATAGAATGGAGAGCAGTCACCGTAAAAAAAAGTTTGTTATGGGTTAGACGTTGATCAAGAATAATTTTTTTCTAAAGAATTTTCGAGTTTGTTTACAAACGTCAAAATTTTTTTCAAGAAAGGGACATTCAATGAAACGCGTTCACATAACATATAGTCCAGGCTGTATAATATTTTTTTACAAAGAAAATTAGTTACCGAGCGAAACCGGGTTTTCCAGGCAGGTGAAATGAATAGAAATTGGGAAAAAATAATTAAAACAGCTGAATTTTTCCGCGGGTGAAATCCCGGGGGTTGAAAGGGGTGAAAAGTGGTGTTTTGCAAATTGTGGCAAAACTATTAATTTTAGACGAAAATGTTACACGTTATAGAGATTAAAAAAGCGAGCAACTTTTGTATCTGCACTATTTTCACATAACCTCCAATTTTCCTAGAAAAACCGGAAAAACTGTTTTTTTCGTTTTTTATTCCTATTTTTGCGAAAAAATGTCGTAAGGGTTTGAAGTTTGGAGGAAACATAGCTTGTTTTATGACGAAAGAAGATAATTTTTGGGCCCATAAAGTTGAACTGTTTCCAAGATCTCACGATTTCTGAAAAAAACCACCTCTTTTTCAAGGGGATGAAAAATCTATTATTTTTCATCGTACAGTGGTGCGCGGGGTAGCAAAATTTTTGGGAAGGCTTATATTTTAATAAACAAAAATAAAAAAATATTATTCCTATAGCAAAAATTCGAGAAAATCGCCCAAAACTGGAAAAACAGTTTTAAGATATACACGGTTTTTGACATGATAAATCAACTTGTTAATAAAGATTTTAACGAAATCTGTCTTCATGCTTCTCTTTAATGTTTGCTTAAATATTCTCTTTTGTTATCTTATGTTCAACTGTTTAAGTTAAAACATCTTTATTACTTCTTTTTTCTGCATTTTTACCGCAATAAAAGCAATTCGAAATAAAATCAGATTATGTTGCTTCCTGATTCCTGAACAATTTCTTTTTGTTCACTGACTCTTCTTCCTGCCTGTTTTATGCTGATGCAATTGCGTTGGACCTGTTGATAAACTTGCGAAATCTGCAATAAGAACGTTATTTTTACCGGCTAAAGCAAATGATTTGAGATGTAAAACCTGGAATAAACTTTATGAGGATTTTATTCGTAATCAACAGGCCCAGCTTAATCCCATCAGCTGTAAAACGGGCAAGAAGAAGAGTTAGTGAACAAAAACAAATTGTTCAGGAAGCAAAAGAATTCGATTTTACTTCGAATTGCTTTTATTGCGGTAAAAATGCAGAAAAAAGAAATAATAAAAATGTTTTAATTAAGGCAGTTATTTTTTCCCAATTTCTATTCATTTCACCTACCTGGAAAACCCGGTTTCGCCTGGTAACTAATTTTTTTTTTAAATAAATTACTTTAGAGCTATATTTAGCCTGGACTATAACCCTCAAAAACGTAGACTCATAAAACCTGCTAGAGATGATTCCCTTCCAATCAAAATCGGCTTGTTTTTGCGTTTTTTTCCAAAAACCATTTTCTTACGAGTTATTCAGTCTGTTTCGTTTTCGTTTTGGTTTTCCCACCCTGCATATATGGGAGTCCTTACAATTCCTTTCCCTTTATTGCAACGATTTTTTAAGTATCACTTATAATCAGCAAAGAACGCGTCTGACCATTTCGGCTATAACTTTTGTGTAAATCCCTAAAAATATATAAAAATATATCAACGTGTACTGAAACGCATATTCTTTCACATAAACACATGACCATATTTGGGTACCTACAGAATTTTTTCCAATTAATTCATGAAGATCCATGTTCTAAAATTTTATTGAAAAAGGGCGCGCATTCTGGTACCTACATATTTCGTTATAGAATTTTCCAATGTTGAACAAAAATTGTGAAATTACCAACACGCACGTAGAAACAGTTTACTATTAAATCACGTCGCATTTAATAGAAATCGGTTGAGTATAGTTTTTTAAATATAAATTTCTAAAGTTGGCGTATTAGACTTTTTTTTCGATATGTGTCTGTACCCACCATAGCATAATTTTGAATAGAACGCGTGCGGTTTTTGCCATTAGGATTAAAGAATCTGATGCATATTAATACTTTGAGAAGCAATAGAAGAGGTAGGTGCTATAAATAACACAAAATATTAATAAATCACTTATATTGCTATTCCGACAGATTTAAGAGTATTTAATAGCGGTAGATAATAAAGATTGAAATATAATGTTAATATATTCGTACGAGCAACAATAATTCTAGGCAGTCCAATGCGCACCTATGAATTTTAAGAAGGCTTGGATATGTAAAATATTTCTACGCCTTGTCATAAGTGTTATTCAATTAAATTGTTTGAAGATTCAAATACCTTGGAGTTTGTTGGTTATTTACTCGTTTTTATCCATTGTCTCCTACCAGGAAAGTTATTGACTAATTTATGTGGCTATTAGTATGCACGGTAGATTATAAATCATCAGGCATTTAAATTCATATTCTATCGAGTTTAATAATCTCTTAATAACTGTTGACGTTCAGATGTAAAGGGTAGCATTCCCCCACAAATGGCGTTTGGAAACAATGCACGATTCCCACTCAATATCGCGATAAATAAAAGTGAACCTGATAATCTCACTTCTTCAACAAACCCCCTTATACAAGGAATTTCTGAATAGTTTTGAAGAAATTCTAAATAGCTTTATCTCTGGATCGAGAGAATCCCTGAATATCCTTCGTACAACCACAGATATCTGTAGTACAACGTTTAGCGAGGTTCTCAGGAGATTATTTGTACTTAAAGAATACTGATCCCTAAAAGTATATATCATTAAGAACCTTCGAAGAATCTCTAGAAAACGTTTGGTAAGGGCCCTGAAGATGCTGTAAGTTTCACTGGAATAGGTGATGAATAATTGCTAAAGAATATTAATTATAGATTTAAAGAATTTTTGATACATATACAGAAAACAAATGATTAGGTACTGAAGAATGTTAATGAAAACTATATTTTTTAATTTTTAATTGGATTTTAACCGAGGTGTAAACCACTGAGCAAAAATGTTTACACCAGAATTCCAACAGTGTAAAAGAATAATAAT